CTCCCCTGAGAGGGCAATGACAGCTCCTCTGAGGGGGCAAGTGACACATCCCATGAGGGGGCAATGACAGCTCCCCTGAGGGGGCAAGTGGCACCTCTCCTGAGGGGGCAATGACAGCTCCCCTGAGGGGGCAAGTGGTGACTCCCCTGAGAGGAAAGTGACAGTTCCCTCGGGATAAGTGACAGCTCCTCTGAGGGGGGAGTGGCACCTCCCATGGCGGGGCAATGACACCTCCCCTGAGGGGGCAAGTGACAGTTTTCCCCGGGTAAGTGGCAGCTCCCCTGAGGGGTCCAGTGGCGGCTCCCATGAGGGGAAGGTGACGGTTTCCCCCGGGATAAGTGACAGCTTCTCTGAGGGGTAAGTGTCAGCTCCCCTGAGGGGGCAGGTGACAGCTTGTTGTCACCTTCCCAGCCTACCTGAAAAGAACACGGTGGTTGCTACGAGCAGGGCATACTCGGTCTCGGTGACTTTGAGTTCCCCCATGCTTCTGTAGAAGTAGAACAGGGCGGTGATGAACTCCTCCGTTAAGCCTGAAGGATGGGGGAAAAAAAATCCAAACAAATAAAATAAAAATATTTGAATGAAAATTTTTTTTAATAAAAACCAAACCAAAGTAATCATGATATTATTTCAGTGCAGAAACAGTTGCAGATCATCTTTGCCTGAAGCATGGGAGATGATACCCCCCTGGATCCACCTGGATCGCTCTGTCCAGTGCTGGGCTCCCCAGGACAAGGGACATGGAGCTCCTGGAGCAGGTCCAGCAGAGAATGTGAAGGTGATGAGGAGGCTGGAGCATCTCTCATTTATTTTCATGGTAAATTCTGGGTTTGATGATCTTAGAGGTCTTTTCCGACCTGAATGATTCCATGACTTTAAAAAAGGCTGAAGGGAGCTGGGGCTGTTCAGCCTCAAGATGAGGTGGCTGAGAGGGGACCTCATCCCTGCCTGTCAGTGTCTGCAGGGAGGGGTCAGAGGGTGGACCAGGCTCTGCTCAGGGATGCCCAGCAATGGAATAAGAGGCAATGCGCAGAAACTAATGCCCAGGAAGTTCCACCTGAACGTGGGGAAGGAACTCCATCACTGTGTGGGAACGGATTGTCCAGAAAGGTTGTGGAGTCCCCCTCACTGTGGATGTCCCAGAACTGTCTGGACACAACCCTGTGCCATGTGCTCTGGGATGACCCTGCTTGAGCAGGGAGGTGGGACCAGATGACCCATTGTTGCACCCTCCAACCTGAGCCATCCTGTGATTCAGTGAATCTTTTAAGGGAAATAGTTAACAAACTTCAGGAAAACAGTGTTCATTTCTAATCCAGTAACAGAAGTTGGGTTAAGGTTGTACTGTGGAGCTTTGGATTTATACATAGCTCAAGGCTTTATCCTAGGAGATAGTCAAACATGAACACCACCTCTTCCTATGAGGATTTAATGCCTGTGTGTGTGATCAGAGCAGCTCAAGGAAGAGGGAGCCCAGGGGCCACAGGGACAGTGTTGCTCGGTGTGATTAAGAAGAGGGCCAGCAAAGCAAAAGATTCCCAGTATTTAGATTCTACTTCCCTTACCTGTGGTAGTAGTGGAAGTTGGACTCTCTTCGTTGTGAGACATTTCCATGGAATAAATGTTGTTTTTATCAAGGCTTTGAACGTGACAACATGTCCCATGATCAGAAAGTCTTGCATGACCTGGAACAAGACAGATGACAGTCTCCAGCCAAGCTTAAACTGACTTTAAATACTTGTCTGTATCTGCTTTGAAGGTATATAGCTGAAAATGTGGGAATTTTTCCCAGATCCATGTAGGTATAAAAAAAAATGCTCATTTGCATCATTGTTGGTCAAAGTCTCTGTCAAAGTCTCTTGTGTTAAACTTGACACAATATATAATTAGTCATTAACATAGCTAATATTAGCCATCCACCCCACAATTTATGCAAACACTCAAAAATGTTGCTTTTTGTTTAGAACTAATGGGAGGAAACCAGAAATCTATTTATTTAGTTATTAAAAAAAAATAAATTGTGTGCCTTGAATAAAAAGCCTTTAGGAGGTATGTTGTCATTAATGATACTATTCTAAGTACCACTCTGCTTGGGTAGGTAATTATTTGAGATTAAGTGAATTAAAACAAATGGAAGGTTTTTTTTAAATGGCAGAACCTCCTACTGGTGTGAGTAGAAAGCTCCTTAGTCAAACTTACTCTCACTTGTTGATGGTTGGCACTGGCTCATTCTCTGGTTGTATATTTGGGCTGCGAGCAGGAACATTGCCTCAACTGTTGACCCTTTCAGCAGTGCAATCTGGTCCTCACTGGCTAAACTTTCAAATCCTGCAGAGAAAGGGACATGATCAGAATCAAGGAGGGCTGGGGCTGCCTTTAAGCCCCTAACACGAGGCGATAAAATGATTTTTTTAATAAGAAATGCCTTTAGTGGAAAGGAGGAGCCTTAGTTAAGTGATGTATGTACCAAGGACTGTTGTGATCTTTCTTGCTTGTTTGCAGGGGAGACAATTAAAAAGAAAAAAAAAGGAG